TATATATATATGAATATATTTACTTGAAGTATCCCTTGAGACTTTAAGTTAATATTTAAATAATTTAACAACATATTTGCATGTTCATGATTCTTGGATGTTGATTTATGGTCACATGACATGCAGCTAAACAACTAAAATGTTTTGATTTAGATTTTTTCTATTAGAAATAACTTCTTTTACATTTACATGCTATAATTAGCAGCTTTTCATTTATTCACAACACCCTAGCCTGCAGTTCCCTCATGAATCCCAGGGGTTTGCAAACCCCAATTTAATTATATCTATAATTACGCTGTTGACCCAACTCCTAACTTAATTATACCATAAAACATGTCCCTAACCTTTATTGTTTGTTACCTCAACAGCAGCAAAAGTGTTCTGCAATGCAACATGAAATTGAACACAATATGTACATTGTACCTAATATATTTTATTTTATTTATTTGTATGACATAAGAACATAGCAGTAAAAGACACCTAATATAAAGTGTAACCCACGTTTTTTTTCTGCAGGAACCCTGCTTTTTACTAAATTGCATTAATAGCCCATTAACATACCAGTGATTCATGCACATTCATATATGAATATGATATCTCTAAATATGCATGTAAACATTATCTGTAATTATTGCATTTATTACACAATGTTAATAATTAGAGTTACAGTTCCTAAGCAACTTCGTGTAAACAGATCTATGACACCAGCTTTATTCTCACTTATAAGACATAATTTCCCTTAATTTGTTGAATAAACACCACTGCAAACGCATAATGATGGTGATGACTTCGGGAACGAAGCTGATGTAGCTCTGGTCTTTATTTACATCTTCACACCTGATCAGCTGTCTTGATCCGCAAGCTTCTAAAGTTAGTCTCATTATACAAGAGGCTGAATGTGTCACATGAGCCACACTGGTATTTGTGGTACCATAAATAAACCGAGAGATGCTGAACTACCTGATTTAAGCTCTAGTGACTGATGATGCTTCAGACAGTATTGATGCATTGAGCTCTATGTGTGTGTCTGTATTTAACGAGCATGGTAGTGAGTGCCCACCTAACTACACGGTATTTTGGCGCGTTCTAACGTTTATATCAAACACTGCTTTCCAAGACCATCATAACGTGTGTTATGATGCCCATACGTGCTGTCTATACAGCTCACTAGGGTTAAAACAGTGCTTGCAGCGCACAGAGCCGCTGTCTGTCACTCTTACCTGACACATTGCTCGTTCTCTCTTTGCATTTCGCCTTCCTCTCGTAAAATCCCAGCGTTTCTGTAAGGTCTGACGCAGCGGCTTGTTTCTCCGTCCTTTTGACGCCGCTGAAAAGTCGTTTCTCCTTCTCCTTCTCCTCATTTTCAGTCTCGTTTTCGTCCGCAAGACCAGCCGCTACCGAGTCCGCCATCTTCCCCGCAGACACAACATTCAGGCGTCACGGCATACGTCACTAAACATGACTACAATTCCCATAATGCATCTGGTAAATATCACACACATGCTAGCAACCCCTCTAAAATATGTTAAATGATTTTATTCTTCTTATATCTGTTTTGACAGTTCTTAAGTGATAGAAACATTAAGAAATATAGAAACATTAAAATATGGATATTCTCACACAACAACAAAAAAGAACAGATCGAGCACAGCTGATCGAAACAGCCAGAACAGAAAAGCAACTTCTCATCGTCAAAATAAGAATACATAATATAATAGAAATTCACAAATGTTAAAAGGGAAGTTCACCCAAAAATGAAAATGATGTCATTATTTATTCACCCTCACCTCTTTCTGAATGTATGAGACTTTCTTTTGATAAATGCCCCGGTATTTTTGTTTGTTTGATTTTGGAAGTCAGTGGTCACCAATACTGTTTGTTTACATTTCTCAAAATATATTTTTATGTTACAGAAGAACGTCATACGTTTGGAACAGCAATAGGGATGAATAAATGACAGAATTTTCATTTTTAGATGAACTATCATCCAGTGAATTTGTACCACGTTTCTTTGACCATTAGAGGGGGGAAAAGATTCAGAGATTATTTTCGCATAGCTTTGCAATTTATTTATTTATTTAGATTATAACAATGAAAATCACTCTGTGTTCTCGATTATGCTTTTTTATTACAATTGATATCAATAACCAAACACACAGAGTCTGGTATCATAACCAAACACATTTTATTAATGCAAATGATTGAAAACCATACATAAAATACACAACTAACAGCACAAATCTGCATGTGTTTTACAATATGCATTAAAATTTAGAGCAATAAAGATATCTGCATTTATGCTCAAAACGCTATAGCGTTCACAATGGGACTTTTTTCATCCGGTTGTTGTAGCGAAACCAAACAGTACGGTACAGACTGAAGCCGAGACATCCACTGAGCTTTAAAAAAGGGCTGAAAAATTCTGATATGAAATGAATTGATAGATCTGTATATTTACAAGGCTTGCAGTATCTTTCATTTTTTTCTGAATACTTAAACTAAATGGTTGAAGCTGTATATCTCAAGTATGGAATACCGTGTCACACCAACATAAACGCTAGCATGCACACACACTCACACGCATACACACACCTTCTCTCCTGCAATTTCTCCTCTACAGTTGAAAATACCCCCATCCCTTGACAGCACCGTTGCCATAGCTACCCAATGTCAGATCACATTGCTCCAACTGCTGTGTTGCCATGGTATCAGGCTTACTGTCTTGGTTGCTAGGGTGCTGGCCATTTCAGGAGCTGCCGTTTCCAAGTGTCGGTGAGTTGGTGTAGTCATGGAGACCGTCATCATGGAGACCGTTGATGGGGTCGTACTGTTCGTTCTTGAGGCGTGTGATCAAACGCTCGTCCACGTCACCCAACTCCCCTCCCATTAGAGAGGGCTCCCCTACCACCATCACATCCTACAGCCAGAGAGAGAGAGAGAGAGAGAGAGAGAGAGAGAGTGTTGACGTAAACAGAGATGCGGGGGGTCGAGTGAGAGAGAGAATGGCGGGGGAGTAGAAAGAGAGAGAAGAATGACAGAAGCAGAATAATTTATGGCTGTTATTTTCCAAAACCTGAACTTGTAATATAGTTAATGCAAGCATACAGTAGAGAATGTGCAAAATTAAATAAAAAAAGATGTGCATAATAAGCAGAGCTGGGTAGATATTGATTCAGGGTTTGAACAAGTTAAATTTAAGACTTTTAAAGACCTTTTTAATACCACCTTATATGAAATTTAAGACCTAAACCTTTAATGGAAATACACATTTTATTGCATACATATATGTAATATTTAATGTGTATAAATTAAAAAAAAAACTAAATATCAATGCTGTAATAAACTGTATTTATTACTATGATATACAGTGAACTTTTCATGTCAGCAGACAATATTCCATACAAAATATCCCCACAAAATAACTGCATCACTGAGATTTTTGGTGGAGTAAATTTATTCTGAAGCAATATTTTCATCAGTGTTCTATCAGCTTTTACATATTTAAATTAGCATATTTACCTTTACAAAGGCCTATTTTTAACCTTTTTAGATGTATGCATCATCTTACATGTCATTTAGATGTATGCATCATCTTACATCTTACAACTGATCAATAAATTCAATATACACTATAGAGCTGCTACCAGTCAGATTAAATAATTTACACTGCAAATAACAATAATTACAACTGCAATAAATAATGTTATGAGATTAATGTTTTAAATGCATTTATGAATATACAAATAAGAAATGCTGAGGGGAAAAATGCATACTTTTCAACAAACTTCTCAACTAAACTACCAGTAAGTGACGGTAAGTCACTGAATGAGCGAGTATTGAGTCATTCATTCAACTGATTGAGTGTG